AAATTTGGTAATGCTTCAAGATAGGGACGTGTGTATTTTACTGATGTGAAGTAAGACTCAAGGTCATTGGATTAAAGTAGAGCAAGAAAACAATCATTCATTCAAGTATGTATAGATTATTCAAGCACCTAACTTGCAACAAGTTGGAGAAATACTGGTGAACAAGATGAGTAAGATTCCTGCTTTTGTAGACCTCAGAGTTGGAGAGGTAGACCCAGGCCAGATCATGCAGGGCCTTATAGCCATGTTAAGAAATGTAGGGTTTATTTGGATTTTGTTCTAAATGTGACAATAAACCACCAGTGAGTTTTAAGCAGAGGAATTACTTGATCTGACTTATGTTGTAAAAAGATCACTCTGGCTGTTATGTTGAGAATGTATCATGGAAATGGGAACAAGGAGTAGGGAGACTAGTTAGGAAGATAATGAAGTAGTTCAGGTAAGAGTTGATAGTGGCCTGGACAAACGTGATATCAGTGGAGATGGAGAAAAAATGGCAGACATATATATATACATATATATGTGCACAGATTATATATATATGCACAGATTATATATGCACAGATTATATATATATATATATATATATTTGAGACAGGGTCTTGCTCTGTCACCCAGGCTGGAGTCCAGTGGTGTGATCAGAGCTCACTGAAGTGATCCTCCCACCTCACCCTCCCTTGTAGCTGGGACTACAGGCATGTGCTACCATGCTGGGCTAATTTTTTTTTTTGGTAGAGATGGAGTCTCACTATGTTGCCCAGGGTCAGACACATATTTTGAAGTTAGAGTTGACAGTGCTAGATGATGGATTTGATATGAGAAGTGAGGGGGAGTGAGGACTTAAGAATAACTCCCAATTTCTGTGAACGGTGGTGTCAGGTGGTGTCATTTATAGAGCTGAGGAAGACTGGGGTGGTTGGAGCACATTTTGATAGACACTGATTTTAGTATTGGATATGTTGAGTTTGAGAAATTTGTGGCTGTGTTTAGTAGGCAAGTTGGCTGTATTGGTATAACGTGCAGAAAAGTGAGCTAGAGTTCCTGATTTTGGAATCAGCAATGCAAAGATGGTAACTGAAGTCACAAGAGTAGGTAAGATTGTCTAGCGAGAGGAGAGGATAGAGAGAAGAAAGAGAGAAGAGAATTGGTCCTCTGACAGAACTGAGAACACCAAGTTCCTGAGAGGCTTGATATAGGCAGCAATCATCCCACCAATACTGTACTGGCAAAGGCCACTCATGACTTCCTGTTCTCTCAAATCCTGGGGATTCATTTTAGTTTTTATCTTTCTGAATCCGCTGCTGCATTTTGATACTACTGTTCATGCCATCCTGTAAAACTATACTCTCCAGGATTTCATTGTCTCCTTGTACGTTTCCTTTCCCTTTTCTGTGTGCCCTACACTTTGTTGTTACCCAGGGAAGACTAAAGAGTAAGACTCTAGGTTGAGCTGTCAGCAATGACTTTTGGAGCCACGTCTTCCCTAGGATGAGGAAACTGCTTCCAACTCTTGGAAGCTGCTGGCTCCAGAACTTGATGAAGGTGAGAGAGCAATCCATGCAGATATCTCAGGAAAAAGAATTCTAGACAGAGGGAAAAGGAAATACAAAGTCCCTGAGGTGGGAATGTGCTTAGTGTGTTTGAAGAACAGGAAAGGAACCCATGCAACTGGAGTAAAATAAAGAGGGTTACAGAGGTGATGAGATGGAGATAGAATTTATTTCCAAGGGTTCTTCTGCAGGCCATTGGAAGGACTTTGGGTTTTAAGCTGAGTAAAATGTGTAACCACTGGAGAATTATGAGGAGATGATTGCTTATAACTAATGTTTTATCAGGCTCCTTCTAGCTGCTATGTAGAGAATAGACTGCAAGCATGGCAGGGGTGGGGAAGGGGAGATGACAAGAGAGGCAGCAGGGAGACCAGCTATCACAATAATTCAGAAAAATGATAGTGGACAGCACCAGTGCATTAGCATTGAGAATGGTGAAAAGCTGTCATATTCTGGTTATACTTTTAAGGTAGAGCCAGCATAATTTCCCGATAGATCAGATGTGAACTATGAAAGAAAGGAGTCAAGGGTGATACCAAGATTTTTGGCAAAGGTAGATGAAAGGACAAAGTTGCCATTTACTGAGGAGGAGAAGACTATGAGAGGGACATATTTGGGGAGGAAGATTAGGAGCCTGATTTGGGACATGTTAAATTTGTGATGCCTGATAGACATTCAAGTGGGGATGTCAGGCAAGCAGTTGGTTATAAGGGTCTGGAGTCCATGGGAAATAAACAAGTTGAAGATAAAAATCCAGGATTCATTGGCTTATAGATTTAATTTATAGCCATGGGACTGAATGAAGCCACCAAGAGAATTAATATAAATGAAGAAAAAATGATCAAGCCCTGGGGAGCATTTTAAGACGGGGATATTACATTGTTGTTTTTTCCTTTCTTCCTTCCTTGTTCTCCCCTTCCCTCCCTTCCATTCCCTCTTAACTATAAAAGTGATAAAGCTGTACAGAACTTAGCCTACGTATCTATATGCCCAGACTCAGAATCTATTATCTTTCCTTTTTTTCTTACCCTCCCCCCACCCACATGTGTACTATCAGTCCACCAGGGAAATGTGCTAAACTATTGTGTTCTTATGTTGGTGCCACACTGTAAGTGATCCTGGCATAAAAAGTATGCTGTAGTAGGATTTGAAAAAGCTGAGGTAACTTAGCCTGGAAAAAAGAAGACTTTCCAGGGAATATAATAGTTGTAATCAACTACCTGGCAACAGAATTAAGACTCTTGATTTAAAATCACCACGATGAAGATTTAGGCTTGATGGAACCAACTTTTCTCAAAGTTGCCTAGGCTCACCAGGAAGTACTGAGGTCCCAGTGACTTTTGATATAATGATCAGATAACTTTCAAAAATCATTCTCTTTCTGACTTTAAGATAATGGTGAATACGATTGTGTATGGTATATGTTACATCTTATTGATATCCTTGGTAGTAGAGTTGCTACACTGTAGTAACAGATTCTGGAAATAGCTATAACACACACTTGGAATCTCACAGTCACATAATCAATCATTTTACTAAATACAAGCATATTTTCATTCACATACAGCTAAATAAAGCATTGTTCACATTTCATTACAGTGCACAACAAAGTGAGGAAAAGTATACAGTACATTTTATTCTGAAATATGAGACAATCTAATCCAACATGCAGTTGTGGTCTTTGTTACAAGTTAGTTTATCTTTTCTTTACCTATGTAGTAAAATAGCTTCTAAAGCTTTATCCTTAGTATTATATTAACACCTGATTTTTTTCACACTTATTTTCTAAAACCCACTTATTGCAGTGACAACGGTACTGAATTCTACTAAAATGATTTTTAAATTTTCTAGAACTTATTTAAGCAATTAAGCTCAGCCACCTCTGCTGGATTTATGCTGAATATTTTTAAACCTGCCAAAAAATGCCAGGAGTGGGAATAGTGTACATACAATAAATTTTAGTCAAGAAAATTGTAGAGAAGTTTTCTTTCCTTTTTTGAACTGACAGAATCCACTCAACTCTCATTTACCCACTGGATAATCTTGCTTTCAGAATCTTCTAAACATACTTAAGTATAGCAGTTGATGAAATTTTGTGTTAATCAAATTTGCCATGTTTTATTTGTCTTTTACAACCATAAAGGTGGCAATTTAATTACCCCACCTAAGCCAGCTCTTGTGAAATGAATATAGAGAAGATGATCAGTTCACTTGTAATTAATGCTGTGAATTGATCCAAAGTGGTTTGCTCCTCCAACTTGGGGCACAGGTGGCAGAACAGTCTTCCATAATTTTCATGATTTGGCTTCTTTATTCTGGCTGAAGCAAATTCCCAAACTTTCAGATTCAGTCACATTCATACAGAAGTTCAATATTATATCTCAAAGCGATTTGCCATTCTTAGGCCTTCCTATCACAATGGATATGAGAAACCTGACTCTAATCAGAATAGTTTTTTTTAATTGTGAAAAGTATGGCTTTTGCCTAGCTGAACTGGCTACAATCCAAAAAGTAATTTAAAGCATCACCTCTCTTCAAGAAAATAATGGAAACTTCAAGCCAGCCATTCCAATTTGCTGATGCAGTTAGCTGTTTGTTCACCTGAGAATTAAGGGCTAACTCTGTTGGGTAGACAGGAGCTCAGTGTACGTATACGGCAGACAGGTGGCCAAGGTCATTTTGGGGTGAGTATTTTATCCCTATCCCACTCCCCATTGCCATTGCTGTATGTGGTTCCTTTCAATAAAAATCCAGTGTCTCGGTGATAAGAACACTTATAGCCCACACAGTTCTAATGTCTTTTTAGTTGTGCAATTATTCACTTGTTTAAAGCCCTCTTGTCAATAATACCTGAATGGGCTTTACCTTTGTCCCTTTCCTAGTTATAGGGTAATTTGCACGGGACAATTTGTTTCATACAGCTGGTAATTCTACCACAAGAGTGTTCAAATGTGCTAATAACTGTGTAGATAGCCTTTCTTTCATATTCACATCATTTTTACTTGAACACCAGACCTTTTGGTCTATGTTCCTCATTTTACAGATGAGCTGTTAAAAGCTAATTGGTACCTTTTAACCAAACCCAGCAAACACCTTTGGTGCAGGGTATTCTCATGGAATAAGTAGAGCTCATAATCTTTGTCCCCAATGTGATACTTTTTTCCCCTTTATGTGTTTCTTTATGTTCATGGCCTATAAGTGAGCTCAAATACCAAGTAATAGTTGTCCTGTCTGTAGGTATGCTTTCCTGGGACTTAGCTTCCTAAACCCCAGGCCCTTAACATGTGGTCCACAAAGGGCTCATGGAGCAGCCACTGCCTAGCATGGGCCACAGTTCAGTCCCTTGGTCACAGCACTCAGGCACCCCCATCCACCCACACATGAGTCTGTCAGAGTCCCCCTGAGAAGGAGGCTCACTTGGTATCCAAATGGAGGTTGAGTTCTCGTCAGTTACACAAAGGTTCTATTTATTTCTCTTACTTTTCAGTTCAAGTAGGAGAGCATGTTTTGGAAATACAAGAGCTGACTAGCACAAACATCTCCTCTCTGATTTGACAACCTCTTCTGAAGAGTGAACCACATTTGGTACAAATCCACTCTTCACCCCTTCCCAGCCCTCCTGGATTGTAATCTCCCCCCTTTTAACCAGCTCATATATGTCTCTTGTCAGGTCTGTGAAGGCTTTCTCCACATTAATGGCATCTCGGGCTGACGTTTCAATGTACTTCATGCCGTATGCAGCAGCCAGTTTCTCGGCCTCGTGGCGAGTCACTTGCCTCTGTGTATCCAGGTCACACTTGTGACCCACCAGAACAAATACAATTTGGTAGGGCTGAACGTGTACTTTGGTCTCTTCTAACCACTCATGGACATTCTGGAAGGACCTGCGGTTGGTAATGTCAAATAAGAGAAGACCACCTACTGAGTTCCTGTAGTAGGCGCGAGTGATGGATCTAAAACACAAGAAAGAAGTAAAGAATAAAGGCCGTGCCCAAACTTCTGCATGTCAATGAACTCAGTATATTCAAGTGTTCCTGGTTATTGACACAGTCCTTTGATAAAAGTGATTTTCTTTTTTTTTTAAACAAGGGAATACAAATGGCACTCAATAGTAATACTAATATGTGAGTTTCCAATTGGGCAAAACTTTGAGATGGGTATCTTCTAGAAATGAATGCTCATGAACTTTTAGGCATTTTCCATGGATTCAGCACTGGAGAGTGACCCTGGGACATAATTTAGTTCTATTTCTTGCCTTCAGGTAAAACTACAACTAACTCTCCCACCCCCCAAATCTGAATAACTGACAGAGACTTCCTTTTCTGCACAATAGGATACCTAAGTCACAGTGTCACCATGAGGCAAAATGAAACAATGGATATTAAAGTGTTCTGTGACGTGGAGAGTTCATTACAAATGCTAGTAGTTGAAACAGGATTTTTAAAACATAGAAATGAATTTATGATAGTTAACAAAATATTTAAAGTAGGTATCTTGCTATATACTCCATTTTTTCCATTTATCATTACCATGTTTTTCTCTTTCCATTATTATTATTATTAATTATTATTATTATTAGCTAACAGGGATCCTCAATCTCTTCTGTGAGGAGAAACACAATTTTATTTTTTATTTTCCAGGCCTGTGGGAATGGAAAAAGAAAGATGGCGAAGGGTTCAGGCAAAGTGCCTCTCAGCCCTATTTCCTGACACATTTCAGAGAGGCCAACTCAGGAGCCATCAGATGAAACTTCACATGTTTTAACTTCTTGACTTGAGGAGCCTCATTATAATTATACATTATGGCACTTTGCTTACAGTGTATTAAAGCTTATTACAGGGTATAGACCTATTTGTCTCTGCAATCACTTGCTTTAGACTACTGTGATTTTTAAAATCTATGTCTATTTTTAGGTTTTCTGTCTCCTCAGATAAAGAAGATAGACAATAAAGGACTCAATAGCTTAGGGAAAATGGCCCAGTGTTAACAGAACAAGCATTGTCCAGGGACCTACAGTCCAAGCTAGATGATGGTAAAAGTAAAACTTACAAATGAGTTTAAGTCTCCAGAATCAGGCAAATCAGCCCTGGGGACTGAAAGCATTTCTTGTCTCTTAGGTTTGAATATTCATGGAGAATGGTAGATTTACCAGAAAATTAGACATGAACAAACAAAGGTTTTGATTTGTGAAAAGCTTGATTCGAGAAATCAATTGTTTGTGAGTACTTAGCAAAGAAAGTGACAAAGGCCTTCTAAGCATGGACATAAGGCTACATAAACCTTAAATTCCTCCCTACATTAAAAAATCTTAAATAATGTGAAAAGACAAATGATAAACTAGGAATATATGTTACAACATTCATGACAGGAAAGCGTTAATATTCTTAATCTATAAAGTACTCTTACAAGTCCATACTGCCCAATAAATAATAAGCAGTGGATGTGAACAGGCTGTTCATATAGAAAGAAATTCCAACAAACACATAAAAGATACCTTTCTTTGCTTAGGAGAAATGTAATCACAAGTTCAAAGTGAACCTGTACAAGGATATTTTCCACAGTGTTGTTTGTGGAAGTGAGGAGCTGGAGGCAACTTAAGTTTGTAATTATTTCTCCTTACCACTCTTCAATTACCCAGCCCGTATCTTCTATGGTTAGTTAGTTTTCAATAGATAAATGAGCAAATGATCATAAACTTGGGCTATTGAGTTTTCTTGATCTGGTTCCTGCTGCTCTACTTTAGTTCAAATTGTTCCCTGCAAAGTTTTCTGTGTACACTCTGTTCCCTCTCACTTCTGTCTTTATTCATCCTGTTTCCTATCCCTGGGCGTTTCCTGTCTTTGCTTGGGCAGTCATGCTCATCCGGTCTCATCTTCTCCAGTTAACCTTTCCTCCTCTGTGTTCATACATATAATTACAAATAATACATGCTACAAAAGAAAAGCAAAGGGTTTTGAGTGAAAGTAAACATATTCATTGATTATTCAATGAATTCATTGAAATTAAGCATATTCATTATGTGCCAAGTGTTACAGTAGGGAGTGGGCATACAAATATGAGCAAGACACATTTTTGTAATTGCTGATTATCTATTATTTCCCTCAACTATGTTAGCACAGAAGTTCCAAGAGTGAAGGGGCTTTGTCTGTTTTGATTACATGGCATCCCCTTGTGTGAGTTTCCTCACACTGTTTTCCCAGAAACAAGCCCGGAGTCTGGCACATAGTAGATGATCACTGAATGTGTGCTGGTTGCAAGAAGGAATCAATCTTATGTATTTCCTTTATGTTAGAACATATGTTAGCATATATATGTGCACACACACAGATATGGAAATAAAACATAATACACATGTATTTATGTATCTAAATCTCTGTCAGTTATGTTAGGATGACCTGGGAACATTTTTGAAAGTACGTAACATAGGGACTGAGATTGATGAATTACAGATACAGAAATCAATTCCAGCTAGTTTATTAGCCACCAAGGGGCAGGTTGGTGGAGTTGTGGTGCAAGCAATATGTGTTATTGACCGGCCTTCCCTGCCAGGGCGCTTCTTTCCTTGCACTGAACTCCGGGTTAGCCAAAGGTGGGCTTCGGTAGAATCCCCAAGACCCTTAGTGTTGCCCTCCTGGACCGCGACTAGGACCAGGAAGTTCTCTCTCCCCAGAGGCTGTGCAAACCCCGAAGACCCTCCCACTGCTTGCGGGCCCGGACTGCGCTCCCACCTGAACCTCTCTTGACCCGCGGTATCCCAGATCTGGAGCTTGATGCGTTTTCCCGGCTCGATCTCCACCAAGCGGGAGAAAAAATCCACCCCCACGGTGGGGTCAGAAACCTGGGCAAAGCGACCCTCGGTGAAGCGGCGGATCAGGCAGGACTTGCCCACTGTGGAATCCCCGATGACAATGAGCCGGAACTGGTACAGCCAGATGGCCTCCATGGCCGCGGCTCTGCAGGTCTCCTTGGCTCGGACCGGGGACGGCGGGAGGGGGCGCCCCGCCGACGCCTCAGAGAGCGCGGCTCGGCAGGATCTAGCTCAGCCGCGAGCGCATCGCTGACCTGGGAACCCGAAGCTGGGTAGGCCCAGGCGCCCGGATAGCGGAGGGATGGATGCTGCGCTTGCAAAGGTGATGAAATGGCAGCAGCATCAGCACCACGCACTCTGACTCATCACTGACAACCGGGTTACTGTAATCCCCCGCGTAGACGCGACGCCTGGGCCGCCGCACTGTCTGTAAGAGGAGCGCACACAAAATGGCTGCAAAATTAGCGCGTTCCCTCCCTTTCTAATTACCCCACCCACCCTCTGTTAATTAAAAATGTTTTCTGTCGTTCAAACTGCAAATGTCATACCTTTTCATTGAAACTAGCAAAGCAATACAAAACTACTCAAGAAAGGGAAGGTACATAATTATATATTAGTCTACAAGTGTTCCCATGCTCACGTAAACACACAAATATTATATGTGTTTGTATTCCCATATACATTTATTGCTGTTTGTTTTTACAAAAATTAAACTGAGGCCTTACTTTCAATTAATAATTGCTTTCTGCAGTTAATAAAGCATCATAAATATCTTTCGATTTCCACCTAATTTCCCTTTTGTCATAACAATGCTGCAGTAAAGATTCTTTAAAGTGTAGTCACACGTATTTTATTTCTATGAGCTAGAGTCTTAAAAGAGAGGCCATGAATTCAAAGAGTATGAGTACTTTAAATTTAATGGACATGGCCATTCTACTTTCCAAAACTAGCAGTTTAAACTCTACCCAACAATGTGTGAAAAGGTCATTGCTCTGCATTATTTCAAGCATCATATGTATGTTTTATTCTTTCTTAATTCTTGTCAATAGAATGTAGTTAAATAAAAATACGTCTCATTGCTTTATTTTACATTTCTCTGACTACTGATGAGGTCAATACCAAGTCTTGTGTATTGACCACTTCATTTCCTCTTCTGGGAATTGTCTCTTCATATCCTTTGTATTTTTTGTGTGTAATCTTTTATCGTTGCCTTACTCTTTTAAAAACTCAGCCTTATTAACATGGAAATTCACATACTGTACAATTCACCCATTTAAAGTGAAAAATTCTTAGCATAGGTTTTTAATATACTCACAGATATGTACAACTATCACCACGGTTAATTTTAGAACATTTTTATCACTTCAAAAAATAACCCAGAACCTTTTAGCTATCGTCTCTCTATCCCATGTTCCTCCAGCCTTTGGCAACCATTAATGTACTTTCTATCTCTATAAATTTCCCTATTCTGAACATTTCATATACGTGGAATCACATAATATGTGCATTTTTGTGACTGGCTGCTTTCACTTAGCATAATGTTTTCAAGGTTCATTCACACTATAGCTAGTATCAGTACTTCATTCCTTTTTGTGGCTGAATACTATTCCATTGTATGGATAGACCACATCTTGTTTATCCATTCATTCATTGAGGGACATTTGGGTTATTCCCACCTTTTGGCTATTCTAAATAATCCTACCGTTGAACATTCATGTACAAGCTTTTTAAAAAATATCTGTTTTCAGTTTTTTGGGATTTATACCTAAGAGTGGAATTCCTCAGTCCTGTGGCAACTCTATGTCTAGCCCTTTGATGAAATGCCTGACTTTTTCACAGTGGCTGTACCATATTACATCCCACTGGCAGTGTATGTGGTTCCAATTTCTCCACATTCTATCTAACACGGATGCGAAGTGGTACCTTATTCTAGTTTGATTTGCATTTCCCTAATGACTGGTGACTTCAAGCATATTTTTACATTCTTATTGGCCATTTGTGTATTTTCCTTGGAAAAATATTCTTAGATCTTTTGCCCATTTTTAAACTGGATTACTAGTCTTTGTATTATTGAGTTGTAAGAGTTCTTTATATATGCTAGATACAAGTCCTTTATTAGATATATGATTTGTAAATATTTTCTCCAATTCGGTGTGTTCTTTTTTTTTTCACTTTCTTGAGGGTGTCCAAACAAAGTTTTAGATTTTTAAGAAGTACAATTTATCAAGTTTCCATTTTGTTGCTCATGCTTCTGGTGTCATGTCTAAGAATACTTTGCCAAATCCAAGGTCATGAAGATTTACTCATGCTTTCTTCTAAGAGTTTTATAGTTTTCGTTCATTCATTTAGGTTTATGATCTATTTTGTGTTTATTTTTATGCATGGTGTGAGGAAGGGGTTCAAATTCATTCCTTTGCATGTGGATATCCAGCTATCCCAGCACTCTATTGAGGATACTATTCTTTCTCTATGGAATGATTTTGACACTCTGGAAAATCAATTGACCATGGACGTATGGATGTATTTTTGGACTTTCTATTTCTATGTTAATAAAGCTGATTTTTTAAAAAAACAGTAAGGCAGTGATAAAAGATTACACATAAAAAATACAAAGTATGTAAAGAGACAATTCCCAGAAGAGGAAATGAAATGGCCAATACACATTGGTCTATATGTCTCCCTTATGCCAGTATGACACTGTCTTGACTGTTGTAGCTTTGTAGAAAGTTCTGAAATCAGAAAGTGTGAGTCCTCCTACTGTGGAGGATCCAATCTTTTCAAAGATTGTTTTGGTTATTTGGAGCCCTCTGCAATTTCATATGAATTTTAAGAACAGCTTATCAGTTTCTGCAAATAAAGCAGTTGGAATGTTGGTAGGTATTGATTTGACTCTGTAGATCAATTTGGAGAGTATTGCTGTCTTAACAAAATTAAGTGTTTCCATCCATGAGCACAAGATGGATATCATTCCATTTATTTAGGTTTTTAAAAATTGTTTTAACAATGCTTCATAGTGTTCAGTGTATAAGTTTTGTACTTCAAGTGTTTTGTTATTTATGATGCCATTGTGAATGGAATTGTTTTCTTATTTTCATTTTTAGATTGCTCCTTGCAAGTTTATAAAATGCAATTAATTTTTGTATATTGATTTTATATCCTCCAACCTTGCTGAACTTGCTTATTAGTCCTAATAGTTTTTATTTCTTTATTTTAAATAGTAAGTTCTGGGATACATGTGCAGAACGTGCAGGTTTGTTGCATAGGTATACACATGCCATGGTGATTTGCTGCACCCATCAACCTGTCATCTACATTAGGTATTTTTTCTAATGCTATCCCTCCCCTACACCCCCACTCCCCAACAGGCCCTGGTGTGTGATGTTCCTCTCCCTGTGTCCATGTATTCTCATTGTTCAATTCCACTTATGAATGAGAACATGCAGTGTTTGGTTTTCTGTTCCTGTGTTAGTTTGCTGAGAATGATGGTTTCCAGCTTCATTCATGTCCCTGCAAAGGACATGCACTCAACCTTCTTTATGGCTGCATAGTATTCCATGGTGTATATGTGCCACATTTTCTTTATCCAGTCTATCATTGATGGGCATTTGGGTTGGTTCCAAGTCTTTGTTATTGTGAACAGTGTTGCAATAAACATATGTGTGTATGTGTCTTTATAGTAGAATGATTTATGATTCTTTGGGTATATACCCAGGAATAGGATTGCTGGGTCAAATGGTATTTCTGATTCAAGATCTTTGAGGAATCACCACACTGTCTTCCACAATGGTTGAACTAATTTACACACCCACCAACAGTGTAAAAGTGTTCCTATTTCTCCACATCCTCTCTAGTATCTGTTGTTTCCTTTTTTTTTTTGAGACAGAGTCTTGCTCCACGGGCCAAGCTGAAGTGCAGTGGCATGATCTCAGCTCACTGCAACCTCCATCTCCTGGGCTCAAGCAGTTATCCTGCCTCAGCCTCCCAAGTAGCTGGGATTACAGGCACGTGCCACTGTTTCCTGACTTTTTAATGATTGCCATTCTAACTGGCGTGAGATGGTATCTCATTGTGGTTTTGATTTGCATTTCTCTAATGACCAGTCAGGCTACCATTGATTTTCTTCACAGAATTAGAAAAAACTACCTTAAATTTCACATGGAACCAAAAAAGAGGTTTGACAGTTTTGTTGTTCTTTTCAAAGAACCAACTTTTTGTTTCATTGATTCTATTGTTAATCTATTCCCTTTGTTTCATTTATCTCTGCCCTAATATTTATTATTTCCTTCCTTTTGCTTGATTTTCTTTTAGTTAGCTCATCTTTTTCCAGTTTCTTAAGTTGTAAGGTTGAGTTATTGATTTGAGATTTTTTTTCTTAATACAGGCACTTACAGCTATACATTTCCCTCTGAGCACTGCTTTATCTGAACCCCATAAGTTTTGGTATCTTTCTTGTGTCATTTTCATTTATCTGAAACTATTTTCTGATTTTCCTTTTGATCTCTTCTTTGACCCATTTGTTATTTATGAGTGTTTTGTTTGATTCTCACATATTTGTGAGTTTCTCATATCTTTTTCCTACTATTGATTTCTAGTTTCATTCCATGTGGTCAGAAAACATACTTTGTATTATTTCTATCCTTTTAAATTTCTTGAGATTTGTTTTTTTGGCATAGTGTATCATCTATTCTGGTAATGCTCCATGTGCACTTGAAAAGAATATATCTTCTGCTGTTTTATATATA